CTCAATATGTACATTGTTGTTGATACATCATCGGGACCCGCCAGGTCCTAATCCTAGCTCCCTGTTGTCATGCAACACTAGAGTCAGCTACTCAGCAGCAGACTCTTCGCTGATCCTGACAATAAGAGAAGAAGCTTCACCAAGGATTAAAACATCTATTCAGCCGCACATATCTTTAACAAATCTCCACAATAAAAATACATGTTCAGAAATATTACATAGCAAATAACAACAGTCTACAACATTTTCCATTTGAAATGTTATATTTTTTTGTGGCAAAGCAGTCAGAGGGCGAGAGAGGCAGGATTAGCCATTTTGGTCCTTGGTATCAACTCATCAGTGGCCTTGATGAAATGGTCCATAGATAAAGTGGCCTAGACAGACTGGCCAAGATGCCGTCTATCCTCAGCACCCGTGGTGTCCCATCAGAACTCTTCAAATACACATACACAGCTCCGACTTGGTAGTCAAAAGGTCAGTTATACACATCTGGGAAGTAATAGAAGCTAAGCAAATGTTTGCCTGAGGCATTCAAACAGTTATGAGAAAGAAGGACCCAGAACTATATAGAGAAGTCCTTAGAATGTCATTGGAAAGGAATGAAGAACCACCAAAGTTTTTCACTACGCTTTGTACAGTCTTAGCGAATTAAACCAATACAACAATTCGAAGTCTGTTGCTGCAATTACAACGTGGAAAATATTTCTTGACTCCGGGGGCCCCTGCTGAAGTTATATACAAGGAAGAGTGCACAGTCACTTCCAGCCTTGGTCTTCTAAATCATGCATACACATTATTAAAACAAGACTTTATTAAAATGAATATATTATCAGGTACATTTCCAGCTGTCAGCTCTATACCATCAATAACTGAACTGGGGTTTATCAGACAACGATATAGCAAGTGGCTTTTCTCTCATTTTAAGGGCGAGTGGGTGGTTTTAGCAGCCTGCTATGTACTGGGCAACTGTGTCCTCTGCTGCTGCTGTGTACCTGGCCAGGTACGTTTAGTGATCTTTCACCTTCCTCCCTTACAGGCCTTATCCATTACATTTGTACTCCAAAGATACTAGACCCAAACTCTTTTTCTTTGCGTATGTCTTCCATACCAATAAGGTAAAGATGTGAAATTATAACCTCTTCAATAATTATTTATGTACATTTTGGGGAAAATCGCTTAGTGTCTCTGCATCTCAACTTTCAGATTTGCAAAGTCAAGAAGGGCTTACGAAGCTCAGAGGCCCCTCCCTTTCTATTATTCCTGTGTCCATAGGGTCCTTGAGCGTTGCCTGAGTGTCTGGTGCCCTGCCTGAAGTTGGGAAGTATGTACTTATATTCACTCAATTCCCTGAAACCTTGGTTTTGTCTGGGCACTCACATTCATCAGCACTGTTAGCCTTGGCATCTGGATGCTGGGTAGTGAGTGGGGTCTTCTTTTACAGATCCTTGCGGTAGCCCATGGTCAGGTGTCTGGTGTGCAGGCCAGAGACAGATGGCCATAGCATTGCTGGACACACAGTACTACTAAACACACTGCATTTTATAATGGTTTAAGTTACTTAGCACAAGAACAGAGTCTGGGAACTCAGACCAATGGTGGAGGATTTGTCTACTACGTGCAAGGTGCTGGATTTGATCCCCAGCTTCATATACTCATACACAAACCCCCAATTTCTGGGTGTGGGAGGGAGTCATGAAAACCATCTTTTGACTCTGTCTTCCCAGAATCCACACGACACAAAGAACGAAGATGAGACCACAGGTCTAGTAATGAGCAGGCTGCCAAGGGTTTGTGGATTTCCCTTTCTCCTCTGTAACTTAGTCATTTTCAGACATCCTTGGGGGCTTTGTGGTGGCCTTGATTGCCATATCTGATGCTGTACTCTGTTCTAAGTAGCCAAAAAAAAAAAAAGAGACTGTTTCTATTAGAAGGATATACTAACCAGACCCAACCAAGTGAGGCCGACAAAGGAGGATGGGGTGTGATTATATGTGTGTGTGTGTGTGTGTGTGTGTGCACAGACAGGAAACCCAACGGTCCCTCTGCTCTGGCCACTGCACTTGAGCCTACAAGCCTGGGGACAGTGGGAGCACTGAAAAATGCTGACTGCCTTCCTGATAAGGGAGCCTTCCTATCATGACAGCGGCTACATAGGTTTACAGCATGAAACCGTTTTGAAAAACAGAAAGATTTTGTAGGATCATCAGATGGCTACATTTCCAAACTGTTGGAGCAGCAGGTCAAGGGTACAACTGACAGTAAAAATGGCCAGGAAGGCCTTTACCATACAGGAAAAAGGGCAATAAATACTTTGCCAACGTTTTGTACCTAATGTTTTTTATTTTTATTTTTTTTTAAATAGAAGGGATCTACATTGTAAAGGAATCTTTAGCACTGTAAATTTGAGGTTATATTGGAAATTTTTTCAGATGATTTATTATTGTTGTTGTTATATTATAAACAGAATGTGGGGGCCATCTCAAGAAATCCTTCCTAGAGGCAGGGATGAACTGGCCTCCAAACCCTTCTGGTTCTGAAGAGAAGCCCATTTTCCTATTATTTTGTACTCCTGTTCAATGTATAGTGGAAGCAACAGTAGACAGGAAGGGTTTCTTAGTCTAAACTTAGGGAACAAGGCTGTGGTAAGATTTAAAAATCCTCCCCAAATTAAAAACAAACAAAACCCACAATGTTCTGATGAGATCGAATTTAAATAGGCTATCTTGAAATAATGAACTGGCTTTGGGGATTTTCTGGTCTTTTGGTACTTCATCTTGTACAGTGCAAAGAATCGGAATTTATATTTAGTAAGGTCTAATGGGCGCATTGAGATTAAAGCGCTGGAGTCAGAACCGGGCCTGGATAATCTCAGCATTAATATCCCTGAGCTCCAACCAAATGAACTAAGAGCCCAGGAATAGCCAAGTCTTTCAACACTGATGACAATGAATGCAATTCTGCCTGTAATCGTTCTCTCCATGACCCAAACCTATCATGGCTGGAGAGTAGCTGCATGGTGTCCCATGCTTTTTAAAGAGAAAGGACACAGCCATGGTGTGGTTTAAAGTGACAAGACACAGTCATGGTGTGGTTAAAGTCACAGAACACAGTCATGGTGTGGTTTTCATGCCCATAAAATTATCATTGGATTTAAAAGTATTATTAAAATGGCTTATAATTTTAATTTCCTTATTATTCGGTGTATAGTTAACACTTCTTATTTTTGAAATATTTACCCTTATTTCATCTGTCTGAATGATTGGCATTCACAGAGTGTAAGATGTGCCACCGTTGGTATTGTGTTTGGATCTGAATGGTTTTCTTTCACTAGATTGTATCTGGGTCAGATTTAGCTTCTCCCAAAGAACAACCCAGCTTCGGGACCAGGTAGCATAAGGACTGTGTGTCTCCTTATTGCCCTTCTTTGTAGGCACGGCTGTTTCTTCCCAGAGAGGGACAGTGCGCTGATGTCTGAACTGTAGCAACAATTTTTCAAAAGGGTTTACAACACTGTTAGCATTCTAGATGAGATTTCTGGAAAAGAAGGAGCTGCCCCACTGGAGCAGGTAACAAATGGGCTCCACAGGCACTTGGAAAGAGGAGAGAAACTCTTATTAAAATTTAACATCAACTTGGCCAGACTTGGGGTTGAACTGGAAGAACAAAGTGCTGCTCAGTGTAAAAGCCTGGGATGGGAGAGATGCGATTTCCACAGATACAGCTGAGACACTGAGAACAATGGCCAACTGATCTCAAATTCCAAAGGTTATTTAGGACCAAGTCTTGCCACTGCATAATGGCTTTTCTTTTGGAGACGCTCAATGTATAGGCACACAGACTTAACAGAGAATAGTATCTACAGCTGTCTCAAAGAAAGCAAGCAGGTCTAGATGGCTGTTGGTGGGGATGGCACAGAAAGGATCTGACATGACTAATGCTGACATTAGCCACACAGAAAAGAAGCTCTAGCTTCTTTTCTCACACTGCTTTATAGAGTGCATAACTTGCAAATATGCTTCTTCTCTTTCCTTCACATTCCCCAGGTTTTTAAGTTAGCTCAATGCCTCTATATTTTGAGAGAGTGCCCAGATCAATGCTTGAGCCAAGATAGTGGAAGGCCCAGGCTAGAAAGCCCTTGTAGGACCTGCCACATCTGCACTCATGCCCGCAGATGCCGTGCCACACGCAGCATGGGCATGCGACAGAAAGAGAGGCACTGTAGCATATGCCTCTCTACCCACATAGACCACCCTGCCGCAGAATAACTGTGGACAAGAGAGGACTTGGTAAGAGGCATTTCTTAAAGAATTCATCACGGAGGAAGTCATCTTAATTTGTTCAGTTTGTCATGAACCAGCTAAGTCACCCAGAGACTTGCACACATCAGGTACAGATGCAAACATATACAAGCAAAGATAGTCGAGAGCTATTCCTAACAAATTATTAAATTCAATGGTAGTAGAGCAACAGGAACAGGGTGTGTGTGTGTGTGTGTGTGTGTGTATGCGTGTGTGTGTGTGTGTGTGTGAGAGAGAGAGAGAGAGAGAGAGAGAGAGAGAGAGAGAGAGAGAGAAACCTGCAAACCAGATTTTTGTTTTTGTTTTTGAAGTCTCCAATCCCCCTGGCAAAGGAGATTCCGCTGAAACTGGCCAGCATTCTCTGATTACGAGGACTATATCCAAGTAGGGTTGAGGAGACGGCAGCCATGGATGGGACGACAGCAGCTCATCCACATGGGAGTCAGTTTATTATTAAAATACAAATGTGGAACTATTTCAAGTCATTCGCTGTGCAGCATACTTCCCAACACAACCTCACCTTTACCAATCAAGTCTAACACATGTGGCTTCAATGCACCCATCCTAAGTCTTCTAAGACCGATCAAAGAGCAGTGCAGACGAGGGAGAGGAGACGTCCTTCCGTGTGAGCGGCAGACGAGCTTTGCCGGATTGTCTTTGGGGCTCTATTCTGGAGACTATTCAATTTGGTTTTTTTTTGGGGGGGGGGCACTTTTAAAACAGCCATTTGGCACTTTCTGGTTGGAGTTCTTAGGCACAGTGTGACAGAGTGAGCTTGGTGAGCCCCTCGCCATGCATTCGGAACAGCAACTGAAACTCAGCAGGCAGCTGGTGAGACTCCTGCCACTTGGTGGTAAACTTGGTTCCCTTTTTGTCATAGTAATGGTATGGAAGATCCTCCCTTGTGTTGGGGTCAAATCCGAAAGGCCAGAATCCATACAAGTGGATCTCTTCACAGACTGCAGACGCCAGAGTGTACATGAGGATGCCTGTGCTCAGCCGTTTGGGTGACAAGTGTTTGTTTTTCCAGTACCTGGCAAGGATAAGTACGTGTAGATTCAGTGGCGGGACTGAAGGTGTCAGTCAGATAAGTTAATAGGCAGGGCTGGGAGCTAGATTTGTCTAGACTGTTTAGTTTTCACGGATAGAAACACTTTCCAGCCCCATTACCTTGGTCTGTCCCCTTCTAGAAGAGAGATGAAATGTCATGAAAATTGAATAAAAATGGAACAGAAGGGACCAAAAGGATGAAGTAAGAGGTTCACTTCACCTGGGATAGGTTGGTAGGTGACCTGGGTTCTCCCCATTTTTAGTAACGACTTTGAGCTGTATTCAGTTATTCAATATTGGAGTCAAGTTCTATTACTTCTTCATTCTTGGAAACAGTACCAGGGCATGTGTGTTACCCTTGTAATTATTCTACACATGCACCTTCTCAAAGAGAAGGCCCCAGCTTGGGCTATAAATAGTACAATTGCCTTTCCTTGTGGCGACATTAATTTTCTAGACCACAAGTTCTCTTTCAATGGAAGCTCAACTAAACATATCATAAATTTGGAAGATTTTAGGAAATAACAGGAAGGGACTATCTATTTGAGCATGCACATCTAGATACCGGTTCTTCTAGAACCCACTTGCACTGATAATAAGATCTGTACCTGATGTGTGCCTGGGTTCCTTACATAGGAGGGCATGGGAGTTGAGGCAATGCTCAGAAGACTCAAAGAAAAAGCTCTACCCTTGATCTTTCCTATAAAATGGCCCTGGACAGTTGTTTCATTCTGACTGCATATTGGAATGATCTGAGAAGTTGTTAAAAACACACCAAGTGCTTGTCCCTTGCTCCCCTCACCACACCGAGTGAGTGTCAAACACAGTCAAGGTTACTACCAAGGTTACTATATTGTATTTTAAAACACCGATTTTTATAAACAGCCAGAACTGAAAGTTGCTGGATTAGGTAAAAATGCAGAATCTTCATCCAGTCTCCTTGTCAAGCCATAAGGCACAGCACAGAGATCCTTAAATATGCAAACATTTCATCACAAAAGCAGCTTATGCCATTTATGATTTATCCAGGCGGTTCTCAGTCCTACACAGGTCTACAAACACCTGAACATAAAAAATGATATTTAAAGTCAATGATCATTTTTTTCTTTTTAAGTTGTTATTTTCTTTAAAAAATTGCTTTGTATGATTTAGTCACTAGTGTCACTGGGATATACCTATTTGCACAAGGGTCGTTCTTGTTTTGTGGCAATTCCGTGACTGTGCACTAAGGAGGGGAAGGAAAAATAAAACGGTGTGAGTGATAAACAGTGTTTTCATTTGGCACTTGGTTACCAGTTAGAAATACATGGGACTTTTTGACTAGAATAATTCACTCATTCATTAAAAAGATAAGAGTTTTCCTCAAGAACTAAACTAAGCACAACATCTAGTGAATTGGATAGCTCCCATGCCCAGGAGATTACAATATTGATTTGCCATCTGGTGGGGTATGAGTTAAATGTAATAACATATACACACCTGTTGACATGTTGCATTATGTTCCCAGGCCATGCCAATTGGACCTTTAGCTGACCTCTGTGCTCAACGAAAAAGTCAACTAACGTTCTGGTCACAGTTGCAGAAGTGTGGAAGAAGAACGCAGGGATCCAGAGAATGGCCCCATCCAGCTTTTTTAAACTGAGGAAGAAGTTGTTACGATCCTGAATGGTTAAAAGGTTGTTGTAATATTTTTCCAGGATGCTGGGGTTGAAGGTTGTGAGGTTGGTTTTCCTCCCAACGTCTTTTTGGAAAGCCTCCGTTGGGGCAAAATTGCATCGAAAAACAAAATCAGATTTATCTATTTCTTGTCCACACTGACTGCCTGTCAAGATTCCACTGTTGCCCACCACAGCACAGATATTATAACGCTTATTCATAATGGGCGACACATCTGGCAGCAGGGAGCGGAAGTTATTGCTAATAGAGAAAACATATTTATGGCTGGAATAATCATAATGCATCAGTTGGCCAATCCGAACACTATTCTTGGTCAAAGAAAAATTTTTTATTACATCGACATGCTGAAGAATTTCTTGCCTAAAATAAAAAGAGATTCATTAAATGCATTCCATTCAAAAGAACCAAGTTTCTTTCTTATGCTTCTACTTAAGTCAGGCATGAATTTTAAGCACATTCAATTCAAGTATGAACATACATTCATATTTGTGGACTCCAAAGGGCGGCCTGTTTTTTATAATGTAAAGGCATGACAATATATCTGTCAAGTTCTGAATGTAATCTTTGGATACTAGTAAATTCAATGTGCAGTTTGGCCACTATTTCTAGGTATTCCGGTCTACTCAGAGAGTGTATTTGATTAAGAGGAGGCAGATGCCAAACTGTGTTAGAAAATACAGGGAGACAATTTACACAGGCCTCAACGAGCTCACATTAATGCACAAACATTGGTGACTTCAGGTTCGTAACTAGAGACTACTTGTTTGCTATTGGAGTGTAGTGCTTGGGAATATAAAATACTACAGGTGTCCAAATACAGACTAAAAAGTTAGGGGTTGGTACATTATTAAAATATGGGAATGGGGAGAGCAGTGGGTATGGCCAAATACTTATTAGAAACGAGATGATAATCTCACTAAGGCCTGCTGAATAATGAAGCATGGATCTATTTTTTTCTGCTTTATTATATGGAATTACAATATAGTAGGATACAGGTAATCAAAAAAATTAAAAAAAAAACAAGAGAAAAGCAATACTTAGAATTGACTTCAGCTGGATTTGACATGGAGCTCCCTGTATAATTGTTACCTCTTAAGTCTCAGGTACTTAAAATAGTCCAGAGACAGGTAACATGCCGCTGGGCTTCACGTTCTCTGGGGACAAGAAGACAGAGTGAAACTCCCGTGCCTTCTGTTGAAACCACAGCAGGGGACAAGAAATCTTATCAGATTCTAGGGCAAGGCAGACTAGCACAGCCGCGTCAGGTTTCCTTACTGGCACAGTTCTTAAAGCGGCTATAAAGGCAACTTCAGATGATACTGCTGAAATTAACGGAAGGTTTCCTAAGAGATGGCTTGAAAAGCAGGAAGCTTTGTGAAGGTAGCGTTCTTTTGATTGATAGCTAGGAATACTCAGCCCAGTGTAGAAAAAACATTGTAATCGAGTTAGAGATGGCGTTTGGTGTGGACTAGCGTAAGGTGTTCTACTATGAAAACTCTCTGGACTGTCTGCAAAATTAAATTTAGATGAAAATCCCAAAGGCCAGAGCTGAAAAGCCCTTCCATGGTTTACAATTCATGGCCACAAACTAGTTTATAAGTAAGCATAGGTACTTAGCTATAATCATAATCCTATGATTATAATAATTTTTCAGAAGTACCCCAACATTTGTTTCCTGAAACTGTGCGTCCCTTCTGATTCTGCTAGTAGATTATAATTTTTCAAAAAGTACAGTGACAATAAATAGCTGAGCAAAACCACAGCTCCTTGGCCGGTTTGTGAAGCGCGTCTTCACAGCGCTAATGAATACACTAGATGGCCCACATTGTATGGAGTGGCATAGCAATCCCACCACGGGGGGTTGGGGGTTGGGAGGCTGTGGTTCTAAGACCAGGACCACTGAGATTTCATTAATCCCCCCCCCAAACAAAACCAAGCTATAAAGACAAAACTTCTTCTTGTGGAAAAAGTCTACTACAACCACTAAAGCTGGGAAGGCCTTCCTGAAAACAAACAGGCAAAACTCAAACAAAATCACACTTCCACACATATATTTAGGCCGGCATCTCCACTAGAGATGCCATAAGACTGCGTTATATTTTCTGTGTTTCAATAAGATTGTATAATTACAGTTTTTTTTTAAAAAAAGTAGGGGATCCTCTGTTTACAATGAACTTTTTTTTTTTAAATAGACAACTTTGGTGCATCCAGACTTTAAATCATGGTGCTCAGTCAAGACCAAATTCGGAAGGATGCTGACCATCCTGAGCCTTCCTGAGGGCACTGCAAACATTTGGGAGGATGGCTGCTCACCACCTCCTCTTGCATTTAGGAGAGGACAAAGCCCGTATAGGTGCAGGTGGGTGAAGTGAGGTGTATCTTGTTTTTGTTTACTTTTTGGTGGTTTTGGCTTTGTTTTCATGCTGTTTGTCTTATTGAGTTTCAAAATGAAAAGCAACAACAAAATTAAAACCAACCTCTCTCCCTATCCTACCTTTGACGTAAAAACGCTGTCCGATTAAATGTCCATTTAGAAGGTTTCTCTTGGAGTTCATGGGTGAGAGAATTCGTAATGGGCACAAATGACGGGTCTAGAAACTTCAGCGCAAACTGTGACCTAAAGAGGAGCATGAGTTCAGAGAGACGCTGGCCTCAGTAAGGGGAACCCAGGGAGCAGTGACAACTCCAGCCACAACCGGAGGGGGCAGCTGGCACAGGGGCAGGCCCACCGCACAGTCCCTCTCCTTTGGCACATTCTCTGCTTCTACACACACCCGGAAGAAAGGAAGAAAAAGGGAAACTCTTCCTCATTGTCCAGCCCTCCGTGTGTAAGAGAGACCATAGAAAAGATGGCGGTCACGCAGACATCCAGGGTCGGAGCCCGGTACAGGGCTGCTGTCCGCGGCGCGGCGGGGACTTTGAGTCAGCACCGCGGACAGCAGCCTTCGCCGGTCCGACCCGGCTACCCAGGCCAGTCCCTGTGAATTGATTTTTGGAGAAAGGGCAGAAGAAATTCGAGACACGGGCAAAGTGGGTGGGGGTGGGGGTTCCAGCCTTAACCTTTTCCTTCCCGAGCCCAAGTCTGATTGCACCCTCAGCCCTTAGCTGGAGACCCCAAGAGGCTGCCTGCAGCCAGGCTTTTCTGTCCAGGCCTGGCTTCTTCAGGTTCCACATCCCCAGCCCAGCTTAGCTCCCTGGGTACAGCTTGTGGTTACCACCCGCCCATCAGGAAGCGGTGTGGGGAGAGCTCCTTGCAGGCACAGGTAGGGGTGGGGCTCCAGATGAGCTGTGCCCGAGCTGCGCCCCGCGGTGACTTCGACCGGGCAAGGGTGGGCGGCCCTCAGCAGAAGGCTTGCTTCCCGCAGGGGCCGAAGAATTGCAGAAATCCAGGAAAGGAGGAGGCGGGTGGCAGCGGGGGAAGGGTCGAGGAAAAAGCCCTAGGGGCTTCAAGAGAATAAACCTGCGCATCATTAGATGAGAAAGGGGAGGAGGGGAGGGGTGTGAGAGCAGTTGGCGCCTGCGCCATTAAATCGCCCCAGCCAGGCCTTCGGAGCCCGCCGCTAGCGCACAGTCAGGGCACCCACCTCCTGCTTTGCCTATCTCAGGGTTCAACAACCCCTCCCGCCGTCCAAAAATCCTCTCTCTCTCTCTCTCTCTCTCTCTCTCTCTCTCTCTCTCTCTCTCACAAACACTTCAGTTTTAAAATGGGGGGGAGGGGACGCAGAGGAAGAATAGGAGAAATTCAATCACATCGATTAGGACAAAGGCTTTTAGGGGGCTTTGGGTTAAAAAATAAAGTAGAGAAGGAAGGGAGAAGCAGAAAAAAGAGTGAAAAGACCACGCAGTTACCGAGAAGCCCAAACACCCTTCTCTGACTGTCCCCCAAACACACCACCGACCCGAGATACCCCAGGGCGCTCAAACAGAGGCCCACACTCACCGGAATCCCGCGTGGAACATGTACATTCGGGGCGCCCCTGGGCTGGTATACTTGGGAGTGGTGAAGATGTTCTCCTTTTTCAGGGACACGTAGCTGATAAGCGATAAAATCAGCAGGGCCACGCTGAGCATGACCAGCCCTAGCACACTGGCGACTCGGGCCATTTTGCAGTTTCTCATCCCGGGCTAGGCTGGGTTCAGGGAAACCGGGGAAATCGGTCCATTGAGCGGCCAGCAGCCTGCTGGCGTGTGAGTGTGTGTGTGTGTGCGTGCGTGTGTGCTCGCGGGCGCGTGTGAGTGTGTGTGGCGGGGGAGGGGGGGACCCAGGCAGTTGAGTCGCGGAGGGCAGGGGGTGGGGAACCACCTGGAGCCCCGGGAGAAGTGGGAGCCGCCCCCCCACCCCACCCCGGGGTCCGGGGCGAGCCTGGCCCGGAACTGAGCAGGAAGATGGAGGGTCTACGAGGCGGCGGGGCGATGGAGCACGCAGAGCAGTGCGTCTCCAGCTGCCGACTTCAGGCTCCCCCGCGCGTTTCCAGCGAGGTTGCCATCTCCGCTGCCGCCTGCAAGATAAATGTGATTGGAATAGTGTTACAGTTCGATCTAAGCACAGGATTTAATTAATGAACTCTAATCTCCTAAATAACCAGGGGGAGGGGTGCGGGGGAGGGAGGGCAGAAGGGGAAAGGGGGAGGTGGAGAAAGGAGGCTGAGAGGCTGGAACCCGTGCCAATGGCCTCCAGGACCCCTCCCCCCTCCTCGCTAAGTCGAGTAGGTGGCTGTCAGGAGACCGATACCAAACTTAGTTTAATGAACCATTCATGACTTTATAAAATACATCACGAAATAGGACGATAAATAACCTGATGCACGACTGTGGAGGGTAAACACCAGCTGGGCACCTCTCGGAGATGCAATGAGGATTTTTTTTTTTTTTTAAGGAAGGCAAACGCTTAAAGGCTTTCTCGGCTCCATCAGGCAGCACCCCGAGTCCCACAGGCAGCACCTGCTGCAGCATCCCTGCAAGGAAGATCCAAATAGTAGCTGAGCAGCCTGCTTTGAGGGACATTAAAAACACTCTAGGATGTCTCATTGTGCCCCTTACTATACTCCTGTCCATAAAGGATGGGCACTGCCTAACAACCTTATACGGTGATGCCTAAGTGTGGAAGGCTTGACTCTGTGTCCCTTCTGCTCCTGTCAGTGTTTGATCTGTGTACCCCAGCATCAAGCTGGGAACAGTTAGGCTGCAAAGACTCTCTATTGCTCACTCTCGGGACTTAACCTAGGCAAGCCGTCTGGCTGGGATAGGTCGCCTAAGGTGCCCAGAAGTCAGGGCCATTATTAATGTACAAAATGGCTTTTGCAGAATCTCAAGACCCAGGTAAGAGAGGCTTGACTGGAGGGTGGTAGGAAAAATTCATTTTGTTCTGCTTGACCGTATGGTTTCTTCACATAATGTCTATCTTAATAGCCACGAGAAATACAAACTGCTCACTTTCAGTCACACTCAGAGGATGCTCTCTCACTTCTTCGTCTTTGCTCTTTGCAGTTAGATTATGGTCTCTTCCACTTTGACTTTACCTGTGGCTTGGTCAGCCCTGTATTGGTCTATTGAAAGACAGTCAAGGTGGAGAAGTGGGCCTTTGAGAGCTGTGATGGTTTGAAAGAAAATGGCCCCCAAAAGTAGTGGCACTATTAGGAGGTGTGGCCTTGTTGGAGTAGGTGTGGTCTCGTTGGAGGAAGTGTGCCACTGTGGAGGCGGGCTTTGAGACCTCATATATGCTCAAGCCATGCCCAGTGTCTCAGACTACTTCCTCTTGTGTGAGAAGCTGGATGTAAGAACCCTTAGCTCCTTCTCCAGCACTATGTCTGCCTGCATGCTGCCTTGCTTCTTGCCATGATAATAATGGACTAGACCTCTGAAATGTAAGCAAGCCCCAATTAAATGTCTTTTCTTTATTAGAGTGGCCATGGCTGTGGTGTCTCTTAACAGCAATAGAAATCCTAACTAAGACCAGAACCTTTTCTTTTTTTAAAAAAAATATATTTATTTATGTATACAGTATTCTGTCTGTGTGTATGACTGCAGGCCAGAAGAGGGCACCAGACCCCGTTACAGATGGCTGTGAGCCACCATGTGGTTGCTGGGAATTGAACTCAGGACCTTTGGAAGAACAGGCAATGCTCTTAACCTCTGAGCCATCTCTCCAGCTCCTGACCAGAACCTTTTCTATAAAGCAAGTAGACATTTCTCAGCAGAGGCAAAGGTAGAGGCAGAGACAGATGGGTCTCTGTGAGTTTGAAGGCAGCCAGATCTTCATATTGAACTCCAGGCCACCCAGAGGGGAGAGGAAGGCACCCCAGATAAAGCAATATGAAGAAGACAGGAAAGATTATGGTAGGCTTTGGGAACAGCAAGAAACTTGAGACAGTTACCTCCAAAGAAGAGCCTAGAAAATGAGTTGAGGTCAGATTGTGAAGGGCTTAGGGAGCATACTAAATTGACAAGTATCCTTTGTAGAACAGAACTGTTCAGAACTGAATAGAGCTTGCATGCAGAAATTACTGTGACTTTCGCTGAGTGGGTGGAGATGCAGTGGGCACAGGACTGTGGGACAGTGTATATCACTGTTCGTCCAGATACCCGTGGATATGCTCAATGGCTCTCTAGCCTCTCAACACAGCCAAAGCCTCGGTGTGTTTTTTATTTGCCAGTGAACAAGTGCATATTTTCATTATGAACTGTTCCTGAACAAGCCTGGAGGAGTTGACCTCCTGGATGCCTAGTAGTGACTGTTACTCAGATGCCACAGAGAGTACAGTGCAAGAGACTCAGAAAGTCTACTGAGAAACTGCTCTCTGTAACATGTGACTAGAACTCTTTCTTCTTGTTACTGACTCACACCTTGGTTTCTAGGAAGTCTAGCAGTGGATGCAGAGAAAGGTTCTTGGGATTCTCTGAGTTTTCAGCTCTTATTTTCCCCTAGAGAAGATACGCAATGAAAATGGTGGGGTTATTGAGTGAGGTAACCCAGACCCAGAGAGACAATTATCACATGTACTCACTCATAAGTCGTTTTTCAACATGAAGCAAAGAAAACCATCCAGCAAATCACAATTCCAGAGAACCTAGACAACAATGAGGACACTAAGAGAGTCTTACATGGGTCTAATTTATGTGGGAAGTAGAAAAAGACAAGATCTTCTGAGTAAACTGGGAGCATGGGGACCATGGGAGAGGGTTGAACGGGAGGGGAGAGGGAGAGAGGGGAGCAGAGAAAAATGTAGAGCTCAGTAAAATTAACTTAAAAAAAGTCATAAACCAAGAGGAAGAAGATGATGATGATGATAAAGATATGCACTGCATGAATCCTTCGGCAGGAAAAATCACTGAGGTCAGAGAATGTGTTACACAAGTTCTGAGATGAACAGAGCTTGGAAGGATGAATGGGATTCTCAGAGATGGGATGGTAAGAGAGGGCAGAGTCATCATGAACAGCTGTGCTGAGCTAAAGTACATACCTAGGAAAGCAAAGGCTTGGTGGGGGTCAAGGAGCAGATGAGTCTCTTTGGAATGAACAAGATTTGCAGGACACTTATGCATCAACCTCTTTTTGTTCATTGTGTCCAGTTTCTATGACGGAGATGCAACTGTCTTTATCTCATGGGTGAAAACAATTCATCTTGAAAGAGGTTAAGAGCTGGGTGTGGTGGTATACTCCTGCAATCTCTGCACTTGAGAGGCTCCAGCAGGAGGATCATGGGTTTGAGGCCATACTGAGCTGTAAGCTAAGACCCTATGTCGACAGAAACCTAGAGCAGAGGTTTAAGATTTGCTCTAGGTAAAACCGCTTTGGCTGTGAAGCCCACTCTTCATAACTAAGTCTTAGAACAGATGGAGGGTTAGATGTTTGAGCAGTCCAGGGAAGCTGGAACCAGGGACCAGTTTTTCCTATTACTACCCATGATGACAAAGGTGATGGGTCTGGTGGTTTGTCTAACATTTCTGACTCTCTGTGTGTTGGGTATGGGACGAGGCGTTTCCACTACTGACCTTGTTCAATCTCTGTTTATCCTTTTGAGAACACACAGAAGGTACTTGATTTACCCTGGTTCAACTTACCAGTTTCAACTTTACCATGGCATGGAATTGACATGGATACACTAGGAAGGTATATGAAGTTCTGATTTGTTCCCGAGGCTGGCCTTGCTTTGTCATAAGTGAGAGCCACAGCTCCTAGTCAGACGCTGTGATAGCTGAACAGCTGAGACATTCAATAAATCACAGGAGAGAGTCAACACTCTCTTCTAAAACAAGCTTCATATTGGTTGATGTTACAGAAGCAAACACTAATGAAGGCACTCTGAGTGCATCTGAGGTAGGCTAGATTAGGCCATGAAGCTTAGTCAGTTAGGTGTATGAACACTTTAAATACATGTAGCGCCATGATAATGTCATTGCATAATGAGTTTATGGGAATGTTTCTGCAATGATTTTCACCATTTTAAGAAGGAAGCCCCAAAGCTCAGAGAGTAAAGAAACTTGCCTGTTAGTGTGCTCCAGCGGGATTCGTTTCTGGTGTGTTGCACTGGGATCCCAGAGCCCAGAGGACGAGAGTAAACTACCTTAGTTACGGCATCTCCAGGCTCTTGAGGGAAGATAGCTATGGAAGATGAAGGAAGTCAAGCAAAGACCAAAATTCTCTCCCTCTGCGGCTTGCTCTGGGACTGGGAGAAGGTGAAGCGGAGCTGGAACTTGGGCTCTCTTCTTGTGGTGTTGGCTGGAAGCAGTACCTCCTATCCATTCCCCGCATTCTTGACTAACACAGCACCTCAGACCTAGAGCTCAGTGCAGAAAGCAAGTGAGAGCCTTCTGCCTGACTCCATGCCTGAATGCCAGGCCAGGGAGAATGCTGGCTTCCTGGACTGAGCACGGAGGTTGACCACGGCTCCTCTGGAATGCATCAGCCATCTGAATTGCCTAAGAGGCCCTAGGTAATGAAGCTAAGCAATTATACTAAATTAGGTTAACATTAATACATGCACATATATACAACAAAGGAAGGCTAGACAATGGACAGGAAAGGTGCCCCCCATTCTCAGGGTCTCAGTGACCTCCCTAGCGATGGTCAGGCACTTGTTCTTGAGATGTGTTCTATACACACCACCTGAGGCACGGGAGACATATCCACTTGGCACAGGTAAATGCTGAGATCCATTGAAAATGATTCTTGTTTTGAGACTTTGTTTTGGTCCGTACCTCTACAAAGA